TTGGAGTCGGTTTTTGAAGTTTTTCTGTTGTAATATAGCCACCCGCAGGTCTGTCATTGAATGACCAGACAGGTTAAAGTAAGTATTTTATAGTATAGCTTTTGTTATGGCTCTTGCTAGTAATTTATCTTACTGGTAAATAGATTTGCTTTCCAGTGTTGCTAATTGTTTCACAAGAACAATTTTACCCCTTAATTCATAATTTAAAATTTCACCTGAAACCCCATCACTTCTCTTCATTTTCTAGTGTATTGACAGTATCCTCCTTTCCTTTTTCTTAGTCAATAGCTTTGCATTGGAGCTTCTGGGTTTGATGTTCTCTGACTTCTGATTGTTGCTAACAGTACCATTGTTGCCTCTTTTTGTAACCTTTGACAAGCACTTTGAAATCAAAGACTATACATGAATGAAACATAATGTTTTACATTTTTAAAGTATTGCTTAAAATAAACAGGTACCAAAATATTTTTAGATCTTTTCTATACTTGTTCTTTTATGTAGATTGTATGGTCGTTTATAGTATTTTTGTGTCCCTGAAAAACTTAAATCTGTGGAGACTCTGATACTGAGTTCATAGCGCAAGATTGTTTCCATAACCATGCCAGACTGTCATAATTCCAATTATATAGAAGTAGAAGTACAGAAACATTTATATTGCATTCACAGAAGAGATGCCCAGTGTATCTGTAGGTGGATTCTTATATGCATAAATGTGTTAATTTTAATTGTATTCAGACAGAACAGGACAGTGCAGACGTGATGTGAGTTTTTACTACATAAATTACATAGAAATAAAGTGATCCCTTACAGGTATGCTTTATTTTTTATTAATATCTGTCATAAGGCTACTGGATTCTGCCACCCAACTCCAGAATTAACTCTGAAATGTTTTCTAAATTCCCCTTGCTAGAACTCACTGAATCTCAGGCTCTCCGAAATATAGATTTATGGAGTGTGTGTATGCATGTATTTAACAGCACATAAAAGGCAGTGGGAGGTGTGTCTTGCGGTGTTTTGTCTAGTAGTTTTTTGTTTTTTTTGTTTTTTTGAACTGTGGGCACTGCAGAGCTGGATTTTCTTTTCACAGTGGATCAGAGACTCAGGCTGGGAGGGCAGCGTTTCTTTTTGTCATTGTCAACCTTTCTTTGTATGTAATAAGTACCTTTCCTCAGTGTAGTAAGCCTGTGAATCACACACAAAGTACTGGGTTGGAAGAAAACAAGACATTGCATATATTATTTCCTGATCCTTCTGTATAGGTGCATGTTTTCTGTGGGTTGGCTTAGAGGAAGGTACTATGTAAATTAAATGGGCTGAGTGTAGTGGGTCTTTATACCTCCTTTATTATTTAAATAGCATAATATTTTCATAGATTTTTTTTCTGCCTTACCCTTGCAAGACAGTAGGAAACCTGTGGTTGTATTGTTTATTGAAGTTGTCTGATATCACCTATAATATTCGTTAAAGCTACAGTGATATCATCAAAGGGACAAATCAATATTTTATTAACAATTTGTAACCTTTTATTTCTGTAGATTTTGTAACACATATACTATACTGACACGATTATGCAGAAGATTTAGATTAAAAAGTAACAGGTGCTGATCTAATCATGGATGTTAGGAAGTTAAGACTGCCATCTACTGATTTATTCTTTTAAATCAGTCTGCTCCTAGAAAGGTGTATGAGCAGGTCATGCTTTTGTCATTGATTCGGTTTGACTGACAGTGGTATATATATGCAAGACTATTTGCAGGCTGTCTACAAGCACAAAAAAAAAATGTCTCTCTCATCAGCCTCTTCAAAGTAGGTTTTAGGGGTCCATCAACACACATACTTGACAGGATAGAAAACATTTATTAGTAACAATTTTTAAAGTGCATTCTACCATGTTGTACTGAAAGAATGGAAATCCTTTAAATAGCTGTAGCCTCTAGAAAATTGAGCCCTGTGATTCCACATAGAAGTTAATTGTTAATTTGTCGTAGGCAGCTGCTGCATGCCAAAATGCAGCCTGTAAACAAAGAACATCTTTAATGGTTTAAAAGTTAAAGTACTGCATGTGCCACCTCATGTGGTGCTTGTAGAGAAACTAGTGAATTTGTATTGAATGTCACTTACAACTAACTTTTTCCCCTAATGCTGATCCTCTATATCCATTCTAACTATGTAAGTAAATAATAGGAAAAAAAAAACCCATACATTTTTGAGTAGTACATTGTCATTTGGGCAAAGGAAAGTTATGTGGTGTTTTGTGTTTTATTAAACAAGTCACCTAAGCAATGGCAACACTTGGCAGTGTGTAACAATGCTTTGCTTAGATGTCTACTAATGTCTTTTATTTCAGAGACAAGGTGGGTGAGGTAGTATCTTTTTATTGAAGCAAATTTGGTTGGTGCAAGAGACAAGCTTTCAAGCTTACACATTTTATTTCTTTTATGTTGGGAATTTTGACATTTAAAAGGTTGTTACCAAACTCGCTTTAGTTATCAAATAGCATGATTATGTGTTTAATGCGAATAAATTAAATCAGGTAGAAAACATCCTTCATCAAAAGTACAAGATAAACTTTTGTAGAGGAGAGATCCAAGCTCAGTCTGCTTTCAGTGTACTGCAAGGATGAAAATATTGGACAGTCATTCTACAGCCTCACTCTGTCTCAGAGTAAATCATTCATCTGTATACTTCATGGGAGAGTGGTGCTGAGTAAGGAGGCTAAAAATACTCAATGATCCATTGTGTGAACAAATATTCCAAGTCCCTCCCCTTTTTTACCACTATTTCTGGTTTCACTTGATTATGGAAGGGGGATCCAATTATCCTTTATATCGCCAATTTCAGCAGAAGTATTAAGATATTCAATTGCATAAGTGCACATTCAGCAGCCAATGCTACAGCCAGCTCTACGTGCAGAACTGGCATTGAGTTCAAAGGAAGTTCCACCTGTGGAGAGGCAACATTGTTGGACTCTTATAAAAGTAATATTTTCTTTGATAGAAAAAGATTTCCTAACGATTTTCTCTATTTATATAGGCTTGTTACCACAGCTTATAGGTGTTGCTCCAGAAAAGGCCATTAAGCTCACAGTACGTTTCTCCATTTCTAAATTAATTCTGTCTCTTACTAATTTTTGTCTGATTTGTAGTAATAAAAGACAGGTCTGTTTTCCTAGCATTCCCATGTTTGTAGAAGCAGCTGGGCTTTGTTTCCTTTAAATGCATGAATGATGAACACTTACTAGTGTTCCATTAAGTTTGGTTACAAATGTAATGGGTGTTGATCAGAAAAAAATGTTAAAGTAGAAAACTGTTTGTAATATATAAATTGTATATTTTTATTAGGTTAATGATTTTGTCAGAGACAAGTTCACTCAGAGAGATGGTTCCATTCCAGTATTTGCAGAGATCCTTGCTGGAAGTTGTGTAAGTATCAGTCCTGTGTCGTTCATACCTATTTTTTTTTAAAAAGAGGGAGAATTCCCACCCTTGCATTGTCCAGTCAGAATAACAGATAAAGTATAATGTATATTCCTTGACATCAGGCAATACCATCCTCTTCTACACAGAAACGTAGGAAAAGTTACTGAAACTCTGTGGTTCTCCATGTGGCGTGCCCAAGGCATTATCTGCTTGTTTCAGTGCTGTGAGAAAGGGGGCAGGAAATAGAGAATGATCCAGTTCCCTAAGATCTATTCACGCACCTTCTTCCAGTCTCACGAATCGTGGACAGCAGCGTGGAATTATGGCCCCTCTGTATTGCTCCTTGCTTCCTTCCACCCTCTCAGGCTAGGTCTATACTACCCGCCTGAATTGGCGGGTAGAAATCGACCTCTCGGGGATCGATTTATCGACAATCAATCCCCGAATCGGCGCTCTTACTCCACCAGCAGAGGTGGTAGTAAGCGCCGCCGACAGAAAGCCGCAGAAGTCGATTTTGCCGCCGTCCTCACAACGGGGTAAGTCGGCTGCGATACGTCGAATTCAGCTACGCTATTCACGTAGCTGAATTTGCGTATCTTAAATCGACTCCCCCCTGTAGTGTAGATGTACCCTCAGTGTAGCTAACATATGAGATGTGCTGGCATTGCTGATCCAGCCAAAGCTGCTTGTTACCTCCACCCCTCTTCATTGTTACCTTCAGCTGCAGAGATAAAGTGAATACTGCTGTCAGCAACACTGATGCTGAGTGAAACTTAGACTCTAAAATTTGCCATGGAAGCCTGCTTTGTGGAGTGGCTGCTTATTACTGCTCCTATCTTTGACTGACCATACTTACCCAGCTCAGTCAGACTGAGTCCCAGGATGTGGTGTACATAGGAGGGGCTTCCAGAGTTTCAAAGAGCAGGTGCTCCTCTTCCCTTTCCATAGTTATTGGCACATTTGGATGGTATTTATACTTTGCGTGAATGGGACAAGATGGCTCACTGTCAGTAGTCATTGAGAATACAGTAGAGGGTTCATCATCAACTTCCTTTGGTCCTCCCAGAAAAAGTCCCATAGAAGGGGGTTTAAAAACTGACTTGGATAGCCCAGTTCCTGCTGTAAATCTCAAAAGTGAATTAAACCTACATCTTCACTTGGTATCTTCCATTTAAAAACAACGACAACAACAATTCTTAATAGATTGTTTACATAAATGTAAAGAGATTGAATAACAGTATATATTGGCTTTGAGCTAACAGATGTGAGGGAGTTGTTTGTTTAAATTCCTTTATACAAAATTTTAGAGTTATTTTACTCCGACGTTTAACTAAAAGCAGCATGTAAATATACAAATGGAATTTACACTGGAAATGAAGTCTATAATTTGGTAGTTCTTTAAGCAATCTGTACTTGGTTTGCATTTTTAATGACAACAGACTTTGGTGTTTGTAACTTGGCTAATTTCATTTGTGGGATTTCCCAACATTTGGTAACAGTATAGAATGTTTAAAGCTGGTTAGGGATCCTTTGTAGCAGAAAACCCTAATAACTTCCAGCTGGATAGGCTGGCAAGCTGGAATAAAACCTCCTCAGCTTGCCACAAAACCTGGGGCAATAAGGTGGTTGACCTCTGCAAGATTTAAATTCAAAGAAGAAGCCCTGAAGGTAGGCTACTTATAGTTCTCCCTGATTAGATTTGGCAGTATGGTACATACCTGAGTCTTCACCTGTCAGTGTACAAAGTTTACTTTCACGGAAATAGGGAAAAGAAGTTGTGATATGTAGCTAGCAAATATCAACCACAAACGCTAACCTTCTTCTCGAAGGCTTAGTCGTACAAACAGTATTTGTGGAACGTGTAATTCATTAGGTGTTTTTCTCTCCTGTGATGTGTTAAGTTAAAAATATTTGCAAAGTATTTGTAATTTCCATCTGGCTGCGAATTCTGATAATCAGATTTACTATGGTTAAATCCTTTTGTACCAAAATGTTTCATACATAGTAAATACTGAATTAAAGGCCATATCTATTTCTGATAAGTAGTCCCTTATCTGAAGGATCTTCTTTATAATATTTTAAGAAAACATGTGAAAATTTGAGAGAATGTTGGATTTTCATATAAGGGTTCAAAAATTCAGATGCTCCTCTGAAACTGAGGACTCCCTACATTGCTATCCAAACACAACCCTCTCCTCCAACTGGCTGTCTTCTCAGGAATTATTTTCTTGGGGGATGGGCCATTGGCCTACTACTTCTCTCTGGAGTATTATGGTGTGCCTAGTAGTCCTGTTTCTCCCTTTTTGGCATCTTTAGGGGAAGATGGCACCTGTTTTGCCCCTCCAGTCATTTTTAGGAGGTGCAGACAGCAGGCCACTTGCCCTCACTTCAACTACTTCAGAGACCACATTCTCTTCCTTGTAGCCCCCATAGGTCACATGATAGCTTACAAATGGGTGACTGCTCTGTCTGCACTGTTGCTTCACACCATTTCAGCTTCTTTTATTCTTTTCCTGAATGCTAGTGTTGAATCCAGGACACACTGCTGGCAACTCATTAAAACCTAAAGTAGAAAACTGACAGGATTAGGTGGTTGAAACAATGCCAGTTGATTGTCAGTGCTTCCCTCTGCATGTGCAGTACCTTTTCCATATGGCTCCTGTTCCAAGCAAGGTAGGGCAGGAGAATTCAAAGTGAGGATATTCAATAGTTGTGCTGGCTGAAAGTCGAACACTGCTGCAGATGCTTCATGAATCCTATCTTGAACCTTGGTTCCCCACCCTCAATGTGGGTCAGCTTCTGTGAATGTCATCTGCTTCGGGGTACAGAGTGAAGAAGTTCTTCTCACTTCTGATGTCTACAAATATATCAGTTTATTGCAGAGTATTATCAAATGTGTCCCTGCCCAGCTGTTATGGTCACCTGGTATAGGTCTGCCTTCAGTACCTAAGCTCAGTGAGGGCTAGGACATGGCAGGGTTTTCTCAGGACTGGTGTGAACTCCTTTACTGAGGTGTCACAGTCCCTCGTTGTCTGTGTTTAGGACACATTGCAAGTCCCACCTGGCTCTTTGGCCTACTCTTATTAGTGGGGCTGTTGGATTCTTCCTCGTGCCAGACTTATTTGTGATTTCAGGCTGTGTATTTGGGATAGTGGGTTATTTTTAAGTATTGTAATTTGTTTTTTATTGTATGACTCTTGAACACTTTGCTGATAGTTGCTTTATAAAAGATTAAATAAATAAAAATGAATTTCTGGAGACCTATTTTTAAACCATTTTGTATGTTTTTAACTAAAAAACAAATATGATATTGTCTAGTCTTGAAACACTTCTTGGATTTTATTTCAAAAAAAGAATTTATTACATTTTCATGGTTTTTGTGTGCATTTCCTTCCAGCTTGTCAAGGTAGGCATTTGTCAAATATTTTTTTAAAAACTAAAGAAGTTATAAAATGTTTAAACAATTGTTTTTAATTATCAAATTGGAAAAATGCAGGAAGTATAGACTTAGAGATGATAGTTTACCTTTACTTGTGCTGTTGTACATTTTTCACGTCTTTGGCTGTTGGAAGTACAAGGAGAGTTAAGGGCACAGTCAGCTACGATTTGAAATTGCTTTGATTTCTGTTACAATCTTAAACATACGTATTTAAATGTAGAGGGGGTGTATTATTTAGCAATATTGTAGTAGGCTTACTGTAGGTGTATGAACAATGAAAGCCCTGACTTGGGAGTGGAGTGCAAGTTCTTTAAATCAGGACTACTTCATAAACATCAAAGAACATATTCTTCTTTTAGTTGGTTGAGTGGGGAAATAGTTTTGGTCCAGGATGTGGCAGTTGCAAGTAGGAAGTAAACAAGGGCTTGGAGCAGACATCTCCCCCCCTCTTTGTAGCATATGCCTCTGGGGTGGAATTGGAAAGGGCAAGAGGTCTCATGTTGTAGGGTCATTTGTGTATTTCCTTCAGGCTTTGGCATGTCATGAGGTGTTTGCTGTGGGATCTCAAACTACATCTTTTCTCTCATAACCTTTGCTGTCAATTGTAGTTCCTTCATTTGCTCCTTGTGGAGTTTTTATTTTATGTGACATTAAGGTTAAATAGAAGCTTTTATTATTGTTATTTCTGATGTGTATGAATAACCTCCATTCAGAAATAAATTTGTCAACTTTTTTTTCACGTGTCTATTGTAATTTAGGTGCAAAAGGACAATTTTATATTAAAAATAAACCAATTTTAATATTAGTACTTGAATTTCCTTTGAGATATGTGTGTCTGTGTGTATACACACACACACACACACACACACACTGTCACACATACAAATAAATAGAAATAGGACTATTTGAAAAAGGAAAAAAGGAAGTATGAATATTTGCACAACCAATTTGCAAATAAATACTGAGGATTTACAAGCAGTGCCTGCACTTCACCAATTTCTTTCCATTAACACTTCCTTTCTATCTTTCTGCCTCTGCACTATCTTCCATGCTGTTCCCTATGCCTCATATTACCTCCCTGATCCTATCCAATTTAGTCTCCCCTCTTCCTTATTCCTCAAAATCCTCTTCTTTTCACAATCTTTAAAACAAACAATACGTTGATAAAAATAATTTAAAAAATTACAATTCATACACTGCCAAAATGTGCTTCCCCTGTTTGCTGTAAATGTCCTCTGTCTTGCCTTCCCTTCTTCTTTTGTCATACTCATAAATGATACATTCAAGGAACCAATCCAGCAAACCCCTGCTCATGCAAATAGTCCCATTGAATTCAGTGCAACTACTCACATGAGTAAAGTTACTTATGTACCGAAGTGTTTGCAGTATCAGGCCTTAGATTGTAAGAATATTTTGGGAAAGTGGGGTGTCTTGTGGGGTATGTCTACACTGTACTAAGAGGTGTGATTGCAGCACAAGCTGGCAAATGTGTGCTAGCTATAATTTAGCTATCATTGCTAAAAATAGCAGTGAAGAAAAGATGGCACAGACTGACAATGTGAGTATGTATCCAGGGTCACCAGCATGCTTGTACAGCTCATGC